GCGAAAATGAAGGTACTTGGCTCCCCACGTGCTGGTGACAGCCGCAGTAGAGGTGGGGGTGATGATCATCATCGCTACTACATCATCATCATCATCGATACGGCTGCTACCTCCATCACCCGGTCATGGACAGCCCATGACCATCATCACGATCATCACGATCATCACCACCATCATCATCATCGTACGCACTACCATGCGTAATAATCCAATTCTACAAGCATACCAGCCCGTCTAGTATGACGATGACAATGACTCGGTCAGCCATAATGTGTACCCCCCCCCCCTCTCCCCCCATGATACGCGCGTGCAAAAATCCGTGCTTCAGAAGCCAGAGTCGGACAGATGGCTCAAGTCAGCGCCAAAACACAGCCCGATTCGAGTGAGTGGCGAGCTCCGGGGGGAGAGGGAGAGGTGGAAGGCCAAGGCGGTGAGAGGGGGAGCACAAAGTAGACCCGACTCTGTAGGGAAGAAGGAAAGGCAAGAAGAAGAAAGGGTGAGAGATGGCGGCGAGCAGCATGGAGACGCTTCTGGAGAAGCTCGAGCTCGCGGTGGGAGTCAAGACGGCAGCTCCGGTGTACGACGACAATGGGGAGGAGATTATCAAGGAGACGACGACGGAGGGTGAAGCTGTGGCTCTGGCTCGGCTGGTAGCGGAGCTGAAGAAGACTCAGGAGAATGTGCCGCTGCTTCGCGGCGAAGATCCCGATGATGATGCCTTTGCTCAGCTCACAGACTGGCTGGTGAGCAAGTTTGTGGTCGAGCTCGATGGCGGCGAGGAGGCCAAGCTGAGGTTCGGCGTCGCTGTGGGCGATGGCGAGGCCGGCAACGGGCTAGTCGCCAACAAGCCCATTGCTGCAGGTGAGCAGATCGTGTTTGTCCACTCCAAGCTGATGATGTCGGAGGAGACGGCGCTGGCCTGTCCGCACCTCGGCCCGTTTGCCAAGGACGACAAGGTCATCTCGGCCTTCCCCTCGCTCCTCCTCGCGCTCCACGTCATGCAAGAGGCGACGGATGGTAAGTCCTCCAAGTTTGCACCGTACATTGCGGCGCTCCCGGCGTCATTTAACACGCCGCTCTACTGGGGCACCCGCGAGTTTGGCGCGCTGGCGGCCGGCGGATCGCCCGCGCTTGGCGAGGCGTACGCCGTCCTCAAGACCGCGGTCCGGCAGTATCTGTACCTCCAGGACAAGGTCTCGTCGTTCTCGATTGCGCACCGGCGGTTCTCGTGGGCCAACTTTGCATGGGCGCTCGGCGTGGTGGCGACTCGGCAGAACGCCGTGCCTAAGGCGTCCAGCGGCCTCACCCGCAACTTGGTCGACGCGCAGGTCGACAAGGACACGAAGACGCAGCTTGCGCTTGTCCCGGTGTGGGACATGTGCAACCACGACGGGCGTCGCCGGACTCGGCCATCACCACCTTTTACAACATGGCCTCGTCTGGCCTCGAGGCCACGGCGCCGCGCGACTTTGCACCCGGCGAGCCGATCACCATCTTCTACGGCCCGCGGCCAAACTCTGCCCTGCTCATCCACTCGGGCTTTGTCCCGCACTACGCCAACCACTGGGACACGTATGAGGTGACGCTCGACATTGCCGCCCTTCCCGGGCGCGAGCCGGCCGACCCCGCCGACCCCATCGCCAGGCTCCACCCGCTTGTTCTCCGCCAGCTCAATATTGCGCCGGTCTGCAAGTTCTACCTCAATGCGCAGATGCTCGACCCGAACATGGTTGCCTTTGTTCGCCTCGGCTGCATCGACTCGAAGGACGACATGACTCGCCGGGCCAAGCTGTTTGAGGGCGGCTCGGTCTCGATTGTCAACGACGAGGCGGCGTACACCTCGATCCGTGCCCTCGTCGCCGACCTTCTCGCCACCAAGCCGAACCGCGCCCTCGACGCGCCAGACGCCTTTCTGGAGGAGGCGCGGTTCAAGGACATTGCTCGCCTCATTCTTGGCGAGATCGAGCTCCTTCGCGCCAACCTGGGCTTTGTCGACAACGCCCTCGCTGCCATTGCCGCCAAGCGGGAGCGGAAGCGGCTTGCGCGGATCGCCAAGAAGAACAAGGCCAAGCAGTCGGCAAACGCTGCAGACGGTGAGTAACAACAGAAAGGAGCTAGGTATCTTGGCTAGTTTACTCTACTACCGGTGCTTGGCGGCACGCGCGTCCTCGACAAGGGTCACGTACGCAGGCTCCCACATCTTGGACAGGACGAGCGAGTGGATGTCGCCGTCCGAGAGGCCCTCGAGGCCCGGGCGCTGGGCAATGCCCTCGGCAAGCGCCTGCTTGATGACGGCAGTGGCGACGAGCGCCGACGTCTCACGGAGCTCGTCCGGGTCGGGGAAGAGCTTGCCGGCCTCGAGGTCGGCGTCGGTGACACAGTCTGCGATGGCGCGGGCGGTGGCGTAGAGCATGCCGTCGGTGACCTTGGACGCCTTGGCGGCGATGGCGCCAAAGCCGAGGCCCGGGAAGGCCACGTAGTTGTTGCACTGCGAGGTGGCAAACCGCTTGCCCTTGTACGTGGTCACCTCAAACGGCGAGCCCGTGGCGACAAGGGCGCGCCCGTCGGTCCACTCGATGGCCTGAGCCGGTGTGCACTCGGTGTTCGACGACGGATTGCTCATCGGGAAAATGATCGGGTGCTGGACCGAGTTGGCCATGGCCTTGACAATCTCCTCGGTGAAACCGCCCGAGACGCCCGAGAGGCCGAGCAGGACGTCGGGCTTGACCTTGCGGACAACGTCGAGCATGGGCATGCCGTCGGGCAGGTCGGTCCGCGCCAGCGGCTTCTGCAGCGGCGAGAGCTTCTTGCGCTCGGCGCCGAGGAGGCCGTCGACGTCCACGAGGTAAAAGGCCGAGTGGGCTTGCTCCGGCGTGGCGCCCTCTTCAATCATGCCGTTGATGAGCGACTGGACAACGCCGAGGCCAGCCGAGCCAGCGCCGAGGACGGCGATGCGGAGATTGGGCAGGTGGTGCGGGGCGTAGCCCTGCTTACGGATGGCCGAGAGGACGCCGGCAAGCGCGACAGCCCCGGTCCCCTGGATGTCGTCGTTGAAGCACAGGTGGGTGTCGCGGTACTTGGAGAGGATGCGGGCCGCGTTCTCATTCGAAAAGTCCTCAAACTGGATGAGCGCTTCTGGGAAGCGGAACTTGAGCGCGGTCATGAGCTCGTCCATGAGCGAGTCGTAGTCCTCGCCGGTCAGCCGCGGCTGGCGGAGGCCGAGGTAGAGCGGGTCGGCAAGGAGGGCCTCGTTGTTGGTGCCAACGTCGAGAATGGCCGGCATGGTGCGGGCCGGGTGGATGCCACCGGCGGCGACGTAGAGGGCAAGCTTGCCGATGGGAATGCCCATGCCACCGACGCCGAGGTCACCGAGGCCGAGAATGCGCGAGCCGTCAGTGACCACAATGACATCGACCGAGTGCGGCCAGTTGTACACCATGGCCGACATCTCGTACCGGTCCTTGGCCGAGAAGAACATGCCACGCGGCCGGCGGAAGATCGAGTTGAACTGGGTGCACGCCTCGCCGACCGTTGGCGTGTACACAATCGGCGCCATCTCTGTGATGTTTTCAGAGAGAATGCGATAGAAAAGCACCTCGTTGCGATCCTGCAGCGCCGAGAGGAAGTTGTACTTTTCAATGGCATTGGCAGGATCGATGGCGTGGTACGAGCGGAGAATGCGCTCCATCTGGGCCTCGGGCGGAAAGTAGGCCGGCGGGACGAGACCACGGATGTTGAGACGCTCGCGCTCAGCAAAGGGAAAGCCGGTTCCCTTGTTGGTCAGCGGATCAAAGAGCACCATCGGCCCTGCCTTGTGGATGGCATACGGCTGCCGCTTGATCCGTTCCTCCGCAGCGCGCTTCCTCAGCGACTTGCGCGCCGTGCTCGTGGACAAGTCCAAATCGGTAGCATACGGTGTGCTCATTCTCACGCCGGTAGAGAAGGCTGCTGATACCGCTGTCGCCACCCATCCACTCCGCACAATGTTCTTCACTCCCTGCAGCATCTTGTTGTGGTCTTTGCCTGGTGAGTTGAGTGTGGGGACGAAGAGGGGGGGGGTGAGGGGTGAGGAGGGGTGAGGGGTGGGATCGGGGGGAGGTCAGGGGGGTTTTA